GTATGATAAAGTTTGTAAGAGCTACCACTAATGTCTTTGGGAGTGGTTGCATATTTGAAACAAGAGTTAGTGATTTTATGTGGGAAAAGAAGATGACATTTGAAAGCAAGGAGGTTATGCGATTAAAAGCACAGGTGAAAAGATTTAACTGTGGCACTCGGGAAGGTCTGTCAACTACCCCCGCCCCCCGCCCCAACATTTACTAAACAGATTGAAAATTTTTGTGTTAAGTATTCTAGTCTTAGGTCTTAAACTTGAAAGATGAGTTGTTAAATTATAAGCTGATGAAGGTTGTTTATATAGGAAATACAAATTTATTTACATAAGCTTCTGGAGTACTTTAAAGCTTGAATGGATTAATAAGGGAAACATTTATTTGGTATGGTTGAAAACATGAGATTCAAAAACAAGTTTATGTAAGTTATTAGCCAGCTTTAAAACCTTTTTGTTGTATTAAGGTGAACTGTGAATCAGGCAGCCCTATTCTTCCAGTAATGAAATCTTTATTTTATCCAACTTTACTAGAAAGGGCAACACATCTCTTTTAGGTGGCACTTTGATAAAACCAAAGCAAATTGGGAGTAGTGAGGGGAATTATGTTAGGGATTCTTTTGTTTAAAACATATCCTTACACTTATAAGTAACATTCTAAAATTTTTACAGTATTTTCAGTAAAGCCAAGATAAAGCTAAAATGTGAGTTTTTAATTAAATTACTTTTATCAATATTAATTATAAGATTTAAGGGACTAGATCTGATAGAGTGCCAGATGAACTATGGATGGAGGTTCGTGACATTGTACAGGAAACAGGGATCAAGACCATCCCCAAGAAAAAGAAATGCAAAAAAGCAAAATGGCTGTCTGAGGAGGCCCTACAAATAGCTTTGAAAAGAGGAGAAGCAAAAAGCAAAGCAGAAAAAGAAAGTTATACCCATTTGAATGCAGAGTTCCACAGAATAGCAAGGAGAGATAAGAAAGCCTTCCTCAGCTATCAATGCAAAGAAATAGAGAAAAACAATAGAATGGGAAAGACTGGAGATCTCCTCAAGAAAATTGGAGATACCAAGGGAACATTTCATGCAAAGATGGGCCCAATAAAGGACAGAAATGGTATGGACCTGACAGATGCAGAAGCTATTAAGAAGAGGTGGCAAGAATACCTAGAAGAACTACAAAAAAGATCTTCATGACCCAGATAGCCATAATGGTGTGATCACTCACCTAGAGCCAGACATCCTGGAATGTGAAGTCAAGTGGGCCTTAGGAAGCATCACTACGAACAAAGCTAGTGGAGGTGATGGAATTCCAGTTGAGCTATTTCAAATCCTAAAAGATGATGCTGTGAAAGTGCTGCACTCAATATGCCANACAGATGCCAAAAGTTTTTAAAAAATCGATGTGAGAAGGAAAATAAGCTCCTCAGTATCTTACCTCCACCACCTGTCAACCAGCTTTCAACACTACAAGATGAGAAAAGACTACCATTATTGGATCATTAATGCTGAGACCCCCAACCATCCACAGTTCCAGTGTGCATCAGGGAATGCTTTAGGGCTCCTGGTCTGATGGTCACACACACAAGCTCAAGTGCTAATCTTCTACTGACTTCCCTATAGGCATCACCATTTACTTTATCTAATATTTACCAATAACTACTGGGGAAGCAAAGGAAAGATTTTCAATGAGGTATTATCTCCTGCCCTCACAGAGTGTATAGCTGGTGGGGAAAACAGGCCACAGCACCTGATGCGAAGAACTGACTCACTGGAAAAGACCCTGATGCTGGGAAAGACTGAAGGCAGGAGGAGAAGGGGACAACAGAGGATGAGATGGTTGGATGGCATCACCGACTCAATGGACATGGGTTTGGGTGGACTCTGGGAGTTGGTGATGGACAGGGAGGCCTGGCGTGCTGCTGTTCATGGGGTTGCAAAGAGTCTGACATGACTGAGTGACTGAACTGAATTATATGATAACTTTTGGAGAAAATGAGAAATGAAAGGGAAATACTTAATTTTACCATCCTAAAATAACTGGTAGTATGTTTATGTATTTTCTAATAGTCCTACAGTTTAATATTTTTAAAATATAAAATATGCTAAGAAGCATTTTAGAGATTGTAAATGAGAATTAGTAATAATCACAGATGATAAAATAAGTCTGTGCTCTGAAGAGGATAAGTGCTTCTGGCCTTCTGAAGATGAAATATACTCTGCTCTTCTAAATTGGGTTATTTTGCTTCTTAGGTTTCTCCAGTCTTGCAGAATCTAGTATAAAATTCTCAAGTTTCCATTTACTACATAATCATTTGAGAAGAGTCAGGATCCTCTAGTGAAATAAACACTTAAATGATTATTGGGAACTTGAATTTTGGTTTTGATCCAAGTTCCACCTTGTGACTTTGTAACTTCACTGAACTGCAAATGTGCTGAACTTTAAATGCATGAGTTCAATTCACAAATATTTAATTTGAACCAAATATGTCAAAGTTTATGTGCTGTGTTTCTGGGATATCCTTAGGTTAAATTCTTGGTTAACCAAATAGCCTTCATTTACTATTACTTTTATCCCACCAAACTTCTTGGGGTGGTACTTGTCCCAGCTCAGCCCATGAGGAGGATTACAATTAGATACCTAATTCAGTCTGGTCTTCATATACCCATACCTCCTCTGGCCAGTTCTCTGATTGTTAACAGTTGAGCCCAGATAGGAATCAGAGCCTGTAAATAACTGAATCATAAAAAGTTTAGAATGGTCATCTGTAAATTTAAAGAATTTTAGAACTTCTTTGCAAAGAATTATTTTGACCCCAGTTAATTAATAGAGAGTTATGTTTGAATTTGCAATTTTTTTCCCCTCAGATCCTACCTGGCTTTGAATTACCAGTATGACAAATACTTCAATTTTAAAATCTTTGTTGTAGTGCTAGTAATTAACTTAAAACAATACACAGAGTCGCACACGACTGAGCGACTACACACAATAATACATAGTGTTTATTAGGTGTTAGGCTGTGTTTAATTTATTGAAGGTGGGTGTTGTAACTCTCTCAAGGACATGTAGGTAAGATGCTGAGCTAGGATCTAACTTTATAATAAAGTTTGACTTTAGACTTCTTACTATACCCCCAACACTGTGCAACTTTAAAAGAGTACAACTCTCTGACGGAAAACTACTTGTGTTATGAAATATGAAGAACTTCTAAAAATCAGTAATAAAAGGCAACACAATACAAAACAAATGACTTGAAGGCATAGAGATGGCCAGCCAGCATATGAAAAAAATGCACGACGTCATGCTTTCATCATGGAAAATAGATATTAAAATCATAGTGGGTTACCACTTTATACTTACTACAGTGAGTACAGTTTAAAAAGTTGAAAACACCAAATGTTGGCACAGATGTGGAGTAACTGAAACTGTCATACATTGTTGGTAGGAATGTAACGGTCCAGTCGCCTTGGAAAACAGTTTCTTATATAGTTAAATATACTCCCCTATGACTCATCAGTTCCATTCCTAGGTAATTATTCAAGAGAAATGAAAGCATGTCTACAAAAAAACATATAAGAATGTTTATAAAAGCCTTATTCATAATAGCCAACACCTCGGAACATTTCAAATGCCTATCAGCATAAGAAAGAATACATGAATTGTGATGCATATTTATTTATTCAGTGAGAGGACTGACTACTTAGTGCTAACAGAGAATGAAGCCCTAATATGACAGCACAGTAAGTGAAAGAAGTCAGATAGAAAGGGAGGGTACAAGTGGTGATTCTGTTTGATTCCATATATAAGAAGGCCCAGAGCAGGCACAACTAATGTATATATTGGAAACCATGTGTAGCAGTGGTTACCTTTGGTTACCTATTTGATGGGCAGGAGGCCTCAGGGAATTTTCTGGAGTCATGAAAATGTTCTGTGTCTTGATGTTGGTTGTGTAGATATGTGTGTTTGTCAAAATTTGTGGAATTTTATATTTAATATCAATATATGTGATTATATGTAGAGTATACACCTCAGTCAAATAAATGTCAATATATAAAGTAGAAAAAAAAGCAAGGAGTGGGTCTCAGACAGGCACTCTGACAACAGAATGACAACTGGCAAAGAGCATTCAGAGATACTAAGTAGCACAGAATTATTATGTTGAGCCTCAGTTGATAGTTGTAATAACCAAGACCTGTTTAATCTTCAGTGTAATTTTCTAAGAAATTGGCAAGATATTTGACTTTTGGAAAGAATATAATGATTATTATATTAGAAGTTTTACAACTAAAATGCTTAGATGTCAGTTATCTAGAACATTACTATATGAAACATTTCTTAGATTTTCTGTAAAAAGTAGTTGTGGAATATTGGGAAATAATTCTGAATGGAACTGGAATGTGGTGTACCTCAAGAATAGTTCGCCAAAAAGAGAGCATGAAAAGACCAATTTGCCTGATATGTTACTAAAACAAAACATTTCTTTATATGTGGTTTAGATTTCTAATTGTTATAAAAAAATTGAAAATGTATCTGAGCTAAGCATGTTTGTTCCAGCATTTTCTTTGTAGTATATTTCAGAAATGTTAGAAGCATAGAGGTATCACAATTAAATGTGCTAGAATACAACAGTATTTTGTCTGGTGAGATGCTAGGAGATGGACATACACAGACAACTGATGGGAGCCTCTGTAGTTTGTCTTTAGGATCCTGCGTTACTTGTTCCATGGCAGTGAAATGTGCTTGAACTACTCAAGTGGTGGAATAAGAGATCTGTCATCTTTTATTGTGAGATTGGTCTTCAAAGTAAAAGTCAGCCTCTAAGTTCGTTACTCTGGGTTTTGACCTTTTTCAATTAGGCTGCTTTCTCTGGACTGTCATGGAAGTAGTAAACACTTAGGTACCACACATTAAGCGATGTGGTCTTTGATTTCTCAAAGAAGACTGACATATTGGCTGGGTTTTTGTTTATGGAAAAGCTAATTTCTAATCTTTGCATCTGTTCTAGTAATAGTTATGCACGAGTGCGAGCTGTGGTGATGACCCGGGATGACTCAAGTGGTGGATGGTTACCACTTGGAGGGAGTGGACTAAGCTGCGTCACTGTCTTCAAAGTCCCTCACCAGGAAGAGAATGGCTGTGCTGACTTTTTTATCCGTGGAGAGCGACTCAGGGACAAAATGGTAAGAATAATGCATATTCTGCTATAATTTTAAGTCGTACAGAATGAGCTCTCTATGTAAAATTATGATTAGTATGCTGTTATTTATGGAAATTGTTTTTGTCCGGGCTTGATGATTGTTTCTGTAACTCTTTTAAAGTTAAAGACAGCGCAATGCCTGTTTTCTTTGCGCCTGGACCGGTATTAATGTACACATGTTAAAGGGGAACTGCTTTTCTGATTAGGTTTAATGCAAGAACATTCATGAATAGTCCCCCTAGTTTTTAAACCAGGTGCACCTTCCTCGCCTTTTCCCCACTGTTACTTAAATTGGAGATTGGCACTGTAGTCCACAGGCCAAATCCAGGCCTGTCATGTATTTTTGTACAGCCCGTGAGTTAAGAATGCATTTTGCATGTTTAAATGACTGAAAAAAATCAGTAATGATTTTATGAACATGAAATTCAAATTTCAGTGTCCATAAAAAATTTATTGGAATATAGCCAAGCTCATTTGTTTACATTTTGTCTGTGGCTGCTTTCACACTGCAGTGATAGAGTTGAGTAGCTGTAGATATCTGGCCCTTACTCTAGATTGTTGTGTTCTCAGATTCTTGCTCCCTTCATCCCCTGTCAACCTAGGCTCATCATGTGACTAGTAGGGGGCCATCCTAGGTTATAGCTCTACTAACGTCCACACAGATAAGTGTTTCCTTACATTCATATGTTTTAAATTTTGAATCCAACCTTTGGTAATGTTATGCATCTACTCTTTTAATTAATGTAGAAAACTGTTTCTCCTTTATTTCATTTATGAGCCAAAAAATAATCATATCTGAGAAGCTGAGATATGTTAATGTTGTTCCTGTATTAAGCAGAACTTAGAAAATGAGAATAAAGTGCTCAAAATTTCCAAGGCTCTCGAAAATAGCTAGAATTCCCTTTAACTATTTTGTGAGCTCATTCAGCATCTATAATATTATTTCTATTGAAAATGTGTTTTAAGTTTTGAATAATTTTCATATATAAATATTTTGAATAAACCTGCTTTTAATTTTGATTCTTGGTTTCTGCATATTTTATATTCCTGAATTATTTCAGTAATTTAAAAGGTTAGCTAACTTGTCTGTGCTCCAGTTTCTGTCTCAGTTAAATCTGATTTAATGACTTCCCTAAATCATCTTGAAAGACTTTTAACTCTTAATTTTTTATGAATTTAGGATTCCCTTCTGACGGTATATCTCAGTTAATCAGAATGTGGTTTTAGGCTTATAAAAAACCCCAGTTGAAGTCAGAAGTATATATAATAAAGTTAACATGTCACCTCTAAAAGTGTAAATATTTAAATGTGGTTCTGACCTTGGATAACACAGTGGCCAGCATATACTGATGCTTATTTAAAATATAGCCTGTGGACTTCTAAGAAAGAGCCCATGGTGACCTGTACTTAACATGTAATGCTTTTTGTCCAAGCTGTTGATGACTGGGAAGTGTTGTTGGAGAAGAAGTTGTAGATTTTAGAAACTGAGTAAAACAGTCACAGTCTAAGTGGTTATATAGTCCACTTGCCAGTGCAGGAGACATAAGAGATGTGGGTTCGATCCCTGGGTCAGAAAGATCCTCTGGACGAAGGCATGACAACCCACTCCAGTATTCTTGTCTGGAGAACCCCATGGAGAGAGGAGTCTGATGGGCTACAGTTCATAGAGTATTGAAGAGTCAGACATGACTAAAGTGACTTAGCACACAGCACACAAAGGCATTTCTTAAGTTTGGAAAGATGGAAAGATGGAAAAAGAGAAGAAAGGTATCAAAGGTGGAGAAAGAATTGGAGAAAAACATCTTGCTGAGAAAGTATAAGAACATGGAATAGATATGAAATAAAGAAAAAAATCAAAATGAAACAGAACCCAGTCAGCCCTACATATCCATAGATTTCACATCTGTGGATTCAAACAACCACAGGTGGAAAATATTTGGGAAAAAAATTACATAAGATTCCAAAAAGTGAAACCTGAATTTGCCTTGTGCTGCCAACTATTTACATAGCATTTACTTTGTATTTGGTTATCAATAATTTGGAGAATCATTTAAAATATATGGGAGAGGGGATGCATATGGATATATGCAAATTCAGTGCCATTATATGAAAGAACTTCAGCATCTGCAGATTTTGGTATCATCAGGGGCCAAACAGACAAGGCAGATACTGAATCCAGTCCCCTATGGATACCAAGGGACTACTGTATTGGCCATATTAATAAATGTGGACAGTTTACTTGAAGATAATTAAATAAGAAACCAAATTTGCATCACTAGGAGTGAAGGCTAGTCAGAGAATAAGCTCAGATTGATGTTTCAGGTGGTTGCTTAGAGTATGATTTTTGACATAAAGCTTAGTGAGAATAAGCCTGGGATTCAGACATAATCCAAACTTACTTCCTGTGATGAGACATAAAAAAAGTGCCTTTAACGTAATCCTAAGGTGTAAAATAATTAACTAACAAGAAAATATGTCCTTTTGATGGAAACACTAACCTAGGAATCAGAACTGTTGTTTCAGTTAGTCGTTTCTCCTTGAGAAAGCTTACTATTTGTGAAATAGGAACAATAAATATATCTCTGTGTAGGATTGCCTTATTTCTGTAGGGAATAGCTATAATAAAGCATTTGAATTGTATGTTCAAATCGTATGATCAAAGGCAGAGCAATAATACATGGCTCTAAATTGAAAATAGCAGTTTTGTGACGTCTCAAGACAAATGGGACAGTGACATTGAAATAAGCAGATTAATTGGCCTCCTCTGCTTCATAATACACTTCTAAGATACTTCTGAAGCAGTTATAGAATTGAAGTATGAATTGGTTTTCACTGCATTTTGGGGTCATTAATGTCCATTTCTATAGATATTTTTACTGATTGGTTTTATTTTAATCCATTTTTCTGGGTTCTAGTACTATAAAAAAGATGTTCACTGTGATGGTTGAACCCATAAGTTTGCAAAGTTCTTTCCAAGTTAATGATAGTTTTCTTTAAAATCCTTCTTGATGATAAACTGCATTTTAATACTGTTCCTATGTAATAATCATTTAAAAGATACTGCTAAAAAAACTCTGTTCTCTGTTCATTTTGTCTGTTGGTGACATCTTAGAATCCTCTACCTTGGATGAATTCTAGAAATAAAGTGAGATACCTGCCCCTCATACCTCAGGAAAAAACTTAGGCCCTTTAAGAAAGAATAGATAATTATTAATGAGGTGCCTATAGCCACTGGCATAGCTAATAAACACTAGATATTTTAAAGAGGGCTTATAATAGTCAAAACACTGGTTACAGTGGTGAAGGTGAAAGATGACTTTTTTGAAGAGTGAAAGAGGCATTTGGTAGAAGGTTTTTCCAGTCTTAGGTTTACACTACTTGTTCTAAAAGTGTCCTGTTACGCTTCCCAGAGGGTTATGTTTCACTCTTTTTTGTTTGTTTGTTTGTTATTAATAAGAAAAGGACCACAAATCAAGAGAAGGCTGATGAGGATTTTTTCAGAAAGGTGACATTTTGTATAGTTGGCTTGGTGCTAATTCATTCATTTATTCAGAGTGAACTGAAATTATTTCCTATGATGCTTGCCTATAACTTGCTTGTTTTTGTGAGTTTATTTTCAAGTTGACCTTCTGCTGATCTACTTTAGAGCTTCCCAAGCTGTATGCCATGAATAGGTAGATATAAGTGGCAGGAGCTGCCGAGGCTGGTAACCTCTTAACCACGAGGCTCCTCCTCTTTCCCGATTGTCTTATAATCGTTATTTTTCTGAGTAGGCCTGAGGAAAAAGTTGGAAAGTACTGCTTTATGTAATTGGCTTTCATACTTTGTTGATAATTCAGAGAAATTTAAAAAAACACTAGGCTTTGGTGGTGTAGCCCAAGATAATCAAAGTACTATCTTTCTCCCAGACACTTGGAGATATATAGAATGGTCTCTGACAAGCACAGATTCTCAGAACCCTTTTCTTGATACGTATCAGTTGTATCCTCTGTTTCCTTCTAAATCTTTATAGCCTTGATTTCTCCCTTAAATGCCAACTAAAACTTAACTGTTAATTTGTATAGATAATCTTTACTATAGAGCTTTAGATTCCCCATGATAGAAACTCATTTGTATTCATTTTTATATAGTTGCTATTCTCTATTAGTGTGACATTTTTATTTTATAGGCAGGCATTTTATCAACTTACTATATATAGGTTAAATTGTTTGACCATTTTTAGTTGAATTGTATGTGATTAGAAAATCTAAAGCATTAAATTATAGCACATTTTAAAGTCTTTATAAGTACTTGAATAAACTTTCAGTAATATCAAAATTTTGCTAAAATAGTTCCTGCCAAACAAAGTTTTAAATAACTTTGGGATCTAAATTAGCCATTCTTAAGCTTCTGTAGTAGGACAATAAAATACTATATTCACTACTTAATGTTATTGTGCTTTTTAAAGCATACTGTGCCAAGAGATGACAAAAGTGAAGTAGGCTATGTAGAAAGATACAGTCAGACTCTACAATCCCTGGATTACTTACTTAAGATGCTCTGTGGAAAACAGAAGAATTCACTGTGCAATGTTAAAGTAAACTTAGAAGATAGCTATCATTATAAACTTAGAATTTATAATAAGTTAATACTTGAAGAAAGAAAAAATAGGAAACATCAAGTTTATAAAGTTGCCAAGGAGATTAAGTAATTTTTTTGATTAATAATTAGCTTGTGGATAAAAAGTGGTTTATAAAAATTAAAATGCCTATGAGATGTGGCACTAGTGGTAAAGAACCTGCCTGCTGATGCAGGAGATGTAAGAGACGCCTGGGTCAGGAACCTCCCCTGGTGAAGGGAATGACAACTCACTCCAGTATTCTTGACTGGAGAATCCCATGGACAGAGGGTCCCATGGGCAGTCTGCAGTCCATAGGGTCGCAAAGAGTGGGCACAACTGAAGTGATTTAACACACAACACACGAATATGAGATAATAGTTACA